GAACCAGGTGGACAGTGAACCAGCATGACTTGAAGGGAAGAGGGCTGCTTGCCAGAACTCAGCCATGGAGGGTTTCTTGCTGAGTGCAGACCTCGTTCATCCCTTTTGTGCAGTCTGAGGCAGTAGCCCAGCTGGGGAGTCTCAGTTGCTGCCAGGCTGGCTGGGGGTTAGTTGGGTTTGTGACACTGCAGCTCTCCAAAGCTCCAAGTACAGAAGCCAGCCTATTGTGTGGCCTGTATGTAACTCCTTGTGACCTAGTCAGCACAGGGACACTGTGATGTGCAGGATATGGAGCCTCCCCTTCACGAAAGCCCTGGACAGGCCTTGCACTGAGCAGACTTGTACTCTGGAGGACAGATGAGGAAATTGCAGGGTCAGGGGCACCTGGTGCTGACTCCCAGGTGCAGACAGACATATCCACCTCTGACAGTCAACTGGCAGCTTTAGCTTCTGGCTGATCTCCCCTGTCAGAGACCCTAGCCCTGCATATTTGGAGATCCAAGCTGATACCCTAAGTGCTAACTGTGTAGCACTGTTTAATGTGCTTCCTGTGTGAAGGTATGAGTTTCAAGACTCGGGTGTAGCCTGAAGAAGATATTCCAGACCCCATCTGGGGGTGAGGCCAGCCTGGATAAAAGTGGGGAGTGGGACCCCAAGCCCAACTGCCAATGTTGTCAGTGGGGGAGGAAGTATTTCAGCTGCACTGAGGGAATGGGGGATGGAGAAGTCCTGGCACAGTTACCTGGGAGCACTACAGCCCAGAATGCCACTGTGTGCCATTTGCAGCAAGGCAGCAGTGAGCAAGGAGCCCAGCAGGGCAGTCAGTTCCACAGGCTGGGACTCCAGATCCCTGGAATTGGGCTGAACCATGCTCTTGGCCTTCACTTCCCTCAGAACCAATGATGAAAAGTGCAGAGATCGGCTCCTTTTGAAGTTGCCATCCTATATGGGGATGTAGCACAAGTACAGCTGCATGAAGAGATCAAAGAGCACATCCCTCCCCGTCTGAGCTAACTCGTGATGCACTGCTAGGGCATCAGGTTGCAGAGGTTATGCTATGTAGATTTGCTCTTGAGGTAAGCAGAGAGTAACCCATCTGTGCCCCCTGCCTGTCCCCAGGAGCACTGGTACACCTCCTACATCGATCTGCTGCAGCGCTTCCAGCTCTGGAACATCTCCAATGAGGTGATCAAGCTGAGCACGTGCAGAGCCATCAACTGCCTCAACCAGGCCTCCACCACCCTGCACATCAACTGCACCAACTGCAAGCGGCCCATGAGCAACAAGGGCTGGATCTGCGACAGGTGAGGAGGCTTGGGGGAAGGGGGAGGTGGTACTTGAGGTACCTAGAGCCTTGCTGTGAAGGAGCCTGTTCCTTTCTCCCTGCACAGCCCACCGGCCTGTTCCAGTTGATTTGTATTCCAGTAGGACCTGGGGATTGTGGTTGAGATTGTGCCCAACATAGCAGGGCAGACAGAGGTATGGACAGTTCCTACCCTGAAGAGTTTCTAGTTAAATAGACAGGACAAAGAAAAGGTAGGAGGAGAGCAGTGATATGGGAGAAATGGCTTTGCCAAATTTACACGGCAGGTCAGTGGCAGAGCTGGAAATAAAACCCACCTGCTGTATAAGGCCAGTACAGTACTCTTAACTGCTGGAGCCATTGGGGGCATAGGAGCACCGCGTGGTTCCTTTAAGACCTGGATCTGTCCGGGCCGCTAATGTGTGTGCCGTGGTGCAGGGTGGGAGGTGGCTGCCTGGGTTGGATTCACCGAGCTGCCAGCTCTTGTCTGACTTGTCTGCCCTCCCCTCCTCTCCTGGGCAGGTGTCGGCAGTGCGCCAGCATGTGCGCCGTGTGCCACCACGTGGTGAAGGGGCTCTTTGTGTGGTGCCAGGGCTGCAGTCATGGTGGGCACCTGCAGCACATCATGAAGTGGTTGGAAAGCAGCTCCCACTGTCCGGCGGGCTGCGGCCACCTCTGTGAATACACTTGAGCCCAGGGGATTCCCGTGTGGCTGGATTGAAGCCAACAGATCAACTGTGGGTGCCTCTGCTCTGGGCGTGGGTTTGGGTTTGGAGCCGCAGCGTGGCTAGGCAGCAGAAGATGCCTCTGATGCCCGTGCAGGGTGGGGGAGCAGGAAGGGGTGATTGCAGACAAGGTTCCTGCACGGGCAGAATCGCAGAAGGCCCGGACCCTCCTCCCTGGCTGTTCCTTCCCCAGCAGGGTGCAAACAACTGTAGCAAAGGTGCCAACAGGCCCGCTGGCACCAGGCGGGCACGAGCCTGAGCCCCACTCCAACTTTTATACCGGATTAAAGAGCAAAGCAGCCCCAGGCCCCAGTTTCTCTTCCTTCCCCGCCCGGGCCGACATAGCGGCTGGCCGGGGGCC